CTGGGGGTGTCGGGCGGGGATGGGGGGGCGAACGGCGCGGCGCTCTGGCGGGGCGGCTGGACCCGGAGAGGGGCGCGGAGGGGCCCGGCGGGGTTCGGCTCAGCCCTGCGGGTGCCTCGGCAGCAACTCCGGTTCTGCTGCGGGGAGCACCTTTGGCAGCAGCCCTGAGCGGGGGCCAGCCCGTGAGGCAACTGGGCTTTGGCAGCTCCTCGCCTTGTGCCAGAGGATGTTTGTGTCCCTGAATTCCCTGGCGCAGGCATCCCAAGGGTTTCCGAGTCTTCAACTCCTTGAGCAGATGGAACGCTTCCCCCCTTCTGTGGGGCATGGCAGCCCCTCCCGTAGGTGTGCAGCCCCAGATGGTGACGGAGGCTTTCAGATGGTGGCCACCTTCCAGATGGTGGCCATGGTGGCGGGCGGCAAGGGGAGAGCTGTGAGTCACCCACCGCCTACACACGGCTGCTCCTCATACCTAGGCAGGGTTAGTCAGCTGGCAGTCCCCGCTACGGGGGCGCTGGGGACACTGTCGTTCTGTTAGACTTACTGGGCATTCGTGCTTAGCTCCTCTCCCCCGGCTTGGGACCAGCCAGTGTACTGGGGACTCTTGTTGGGGGTGGGATGCGGGACCCGTCACAGGCTGAGGAGGATGACCTGTATGTGTGCCTTGCACGTGTGACGTGCCGAGATCAGTAACCTGGTGCTAGGAGGAGCATGCTCTGCCTGTGCACTTCATCTTCCTTTTCTTTTTTTCTGTGTTTTTCTTTGATTTCTGGAACTGTGACAAAAACCTGCAAAAGCAGGCTGACCCCCTCACATCCAGGGGATGCAGCCCCTGGGAAATGCTGTTATCCTTCCTGCTGGGGGAAGATGTTCCAGCCTGCTCCTCTGTGCATCCCCCTGAGAAGGGGACCCTGTCCTAGAGCAAGCGATCTGGCAGGCATGGGCTGACCCTTGTCTGTGGGACAGGCTGAAGGGCTGGGGGATATTTGGTAACTGAAGCTGAAGCCTCTCAGGGCACTTTCTTGATGCCTTGGGCTGGAAAAAAAAAAAATCTGCTTTTTGCATTGAAGGCACCTTCCTCTGTGCTACAGCCCCCAGGGATCTGAGTAAGAGGAAGGTGGCAGCATTCCCTGGGGTCCCACCTGGGCCGGACCACTTTTCCTGCCAGTAAGATCTTCCAAATCTTCTCTGGCTGTCCTGGACAGAGCCCTGGCGCAGAGGGGTGGTGACAGTGGAGGTGGCTTGGGGGGTCAGGAGATAACCCACGGAGGAGGGGACAGTCTCTGCTGCCAGCCTGGGGCAGAGCCCTGGGCCTCACCTGGACCTGGGGGATTCATTTCCCAGAGTATCAGTTTTTTTCCAGGCATAGCGTGAAGAAATAGCGAAATAACTTTGCCAGGTGTGCAACCAGTGTGCCCCAGCACGAGAGTCGCTTGCTGGGAGGAGGAGGTGGGCTTGGGTACGTCAGGAAGTGGCTGAGGCAGGTTACAACTTGCCAGGTTAGACTTGGCCGCCCTCTCCGCCCCGAGCAGCACAGGCTTCCTTCATATTTCCCCAGCTTCACTGGTGTTATTAAGCACTATGGTTCAGGGGGAGCTGAGCAGTCCCTCTCGGAGTAGTGAGCGCTTTCTAGCATCTCGGCACCTTGCAAGACCCATCTGGGGGCTGAGGTTTTTTTAGGCATCTGCATGTATTAAAACTATTTCATTAACATTGCTGGTTTCAGTCCATGTCCAGATAACGAGCTCAGTGCTCTGGTTCCTTCCCAGCACCACAGCAGGGACCTGGCCTTGCACCAAAAGCCACTGGTCTCTGCACTGCAATTGAAACGTACCTTTGTAATTTATGGGAATGCTGCCCTTGCCATCTTTTTGGCTCTGCAAAACCAAAAATTAAGCCAGGCTTGTTCTCTTAATCCTGCTCTGGGTTCACAAGTCATCCTCGTACCCACAGGAAGGAGAGTGCATCAGAGCCATGAATAGGGTCTTACAAAAGACTGCACTCATCAGGGAAATAAAAGCCAGTAAAGGGGCAAATAGCGATTTTCTGTGTTCAGTGGAAACTGGTGCGTATAATAGCAACATTTGAGATGCATAAAGTTCTGTTCCCCCCCCTCCCCCTGCCCTGAATCCTTTCTTTCCTTGAGAATTGTTCTTATGAATTGGAAAGGCCATGATATTTGTGAGAAGCTGAACCCCCCCTCACCCCCCTCCTCCCCCCATAAATGGAAAAAAACCCCTCTGCTCGGGGGCTGATCACTGTACAAAAGGCTGCGGGAGTGCCAAGGCTGAGCTGGCTAGAGGAGCCTGGAGTTTGCTGCTCTGCCTTCTGACGTATTGAGGTGTTCTGATCGCTGTGTTCTCCTTCCCTAATTGTTTTCCAGTTGCTTTCCTGTCAAAGCCTCAAGGCTTGGTTACTCCCAAGAAAAAAGGGAACGGGAATAAAAGAAGAAAAGGCAAAGGCCTGGGGAAGAAGAGAGACCCGTGCCTGCGGAAGTACAAGGATTTCTGTATTCACGGCGAATGCAAATACATCCGAGAGCTGGCAGCTCCCTCCTGCATGTGAGTTGCTGGCATATGCCTGTGCCAGGGAGGCTTAGTCATGGTTCCTTCAATTCTCCAGGCTGGGCAGAGGAAGAGTGGAGGAGGTATTTTTAGTGTGTGTTCCCCATCCATGAGGGGACAGCTCTGACTTGGCCTCTTCCTTGTGCTTCTTAAGCAATGTTCATCCCCCACCAAAATCAGTTGTGGACTTAGACCCAGCATCCCCTGCTGGCGCAGTGAGCTCCACCTGAGTTGCTGTATGGAGACCCATGGCGGTGGGGTTTGGAGGAGGCTGAGCAGGGGCTGGGGTCTTGCAGCCAAGGTCTTCTGCGGGTCTAGTTTGTGAGACCCCCTCCTGACTCTGAAAGCATGTGGCCCCCTGTACCTCGCTGCCGCCAGCCTTGGCTGAGGCCTTGGGGCTCCCATGGCTGTTGGCGTATGCTGGTGCAGACAGGAGAAGCATTTCTGCCATGGCACCAGCAAGGTGGATTGGAGGTAGCGCTTTTGGGGACAGTCTGCCAAAGTCCTGCCCAAGCTGTCCTTTGGCCCTGATGAAGGACAAGGCTGTGTACCTACTCTCCCCCTCCCCGCCTCCCTCCTTGGGATGCAGCTAGAGAGCAGGGACTAGATGAGGCAAGCGGAGGAGAAAGCATTTGCCTGCTGCCGGGGCACCTGGATCCAGCATTGCTACTACAGGAAATACCCAGGGGTGCACATTTGATCCCCACTGACGTGGGCAGGGGTTGAGCTGGCAGATATATAAGAGGCTTTGTTCTTTGCTATCAATCCTCTGAGCCTCCCAGCCCTGCGCCCAGAGCCTGGGGAAGATAATAGCTCCCTGGCTTATGGTGCCCACAAGATCTTGTGCCCTGCAATCCGCAGGGATCAGGCTCCACATAGCTCCTTGAACCGCTTAGTTTCTCTCTGCCTGGAAGCTGTCATGAAGTTGGGCCCTTGCACGGGGGGCTTGAGACTGCCAGCAAGAGGAGATCTCTGCTGGCTGAGCTGTAGCTGGTGACCCAGCACAATGTGGGGTGCAGCACCCCCTGCCTGGGACTGGGACAGCTAGGTGTCCCCTGCCTGGCATTCCCTGCCCAGCCTCTTGCCCTTCCCAGATCCCTGGGGCTGGGGTACTGCGATCCTGGGACATGGGCAAGCAGGAGGGGTCTGGAGGTGAGCTGAGGTGCTCCAGCCTGGTGGCCAGCTGGGTGACATCTCCCCAGAGCCATCATGTTTTTTAGGAACAGTGGCCAGCTGCTCCAGTCCCCTCCACCAGGCCTTGTGTCACTTGCTTGTGGCTGCTCTTGGAGGCTGGCTGCCTGTGTCACAGGGTCTCCTGGATTGTGGCTTCCTTGGGCTGGTCCCCGGGGTGGGGTGAGGATGTTGCCAAACTGGGCTCTGCACGTCTGCCTTGTTCCCAGCCTCGGTGCCATGGCTGGGAGGTGACGCTAGCATGTGGTTGTTGGAAGCTGGGCAGGAGGGCTGGGCTGAGACCCCGTCTTGGAGATAAGCTTGAGGGTCAGTGGTACTGGATATAGAGATGTATGTATATATATCTGGTTGCATCAGGGCGCTTTGACTCACGGGGAGGGTTGGCAGTTTGCAGCTCTACTGGGCAGTGTTATTTGTGACGTAAGTAACCTCCTGAGTCTGCAGAGAAGTGGCACTCTCTGGCTGGCAGGGTGTGCAGGGGCATTCTGCTCCGAAGGAAGTGCTGAGCTCTGGTCCAGCTGCTTTTCTGCTCCCTTGCGTGGGGCTTTCCACTTCCAGAGGTGGTCTGGGCAGTCTGGCTCTGCCTGGGTATGATTGGAAAGAGCACAGACCCCAGTACCTTCTACTGGGGGGAGCTCAACCTTTCTGGGAGTCTTCACTTAATGCTTGGGGCAGAAGAAACTTAATTTACCAGTACCAGAGAGGTGATGGTGACACCAGACCTCCCAGCTCATGGGAGAGGGACCAAGGGCTTGGTGCTGGGCTAAGGCTGAGCAAAGAGGCAAGTCCTTTCCATGGGGGTGTGAGAAACCCAATAATCTTCTGTGGTTGGTCACCACAACCTTCATGCCTTTTCTTCTCTCCCAGATGCCAGCCAGGATATCATGGAGAGAGATGCCACGGCCTCTTGCTGCCTGTGGAGCACCCTCTCAGTGCATACGACCACACCACGGCACTGGCCGTCATTGCTGTCGTCCTGTCCTCCCTGTGCCTCGTCATCATTGCAGCCCTGCTGATGCTCAGGTGGGTGAGACGGGGCTGAGCCATTGGATCCACATCCCCAAGAAGACCACATTGCAGGGGAGAGTAGCAGGGACTTCTTTGTACTCTAAGCATCTCTTTGCTTGCCCTCACAGATGTCACAAGAGGGGTGTCTACGATGTAGAAAACGAAGAGAAAATCAAGCTGGGCATCACTGTGAATCACTGAGGATGCTGCGTGCTGGCGAGGTAAGTCTCTGGCTGGGCGTGTGCCAGCGGTGGGCCTGAAGGCTCTGCTTTTTCACGTTGGCTGGAACATGGATCCTGTGCCAGAGCCAGGCAGGAGCTGAAAGCAGTTTGAGCCTGGAGAAGCAGCTTGCTGGATCTGGCCCCAGCGCCTGGGCTGTCCTGGGGCTTCAGCCCTTTTTCTTCCTCTTCCTGCTCCCCTGACACCCTTCCTGCTGCCTGCTTGCCACTACCACCTTCTCCTTTCTAACCTTAAGCACCTGCTCCGCTCTGTCACTGTGTGCTTTGGAGATGTTTGGCACTGGGGAAGCTGCTTTTGGCTTGGTGGTTTTTTTTTTTTTTTTCTTTTTTTTTTTTCTTTCGTTGTTGTTGTTGTGGGATTTTTTGATTCTTTTTTTCCCCTGCTTGTTCTGTTCCCTCTCTGACCCTCTGAGTCACTTCCCCTACTTAGATATCGCCTCTATTTATATGCACACACACATATATATAAAACCCACCCTTCCTTTTCACTCCCACTATGCATATTACTTGCACTAACGTAATGCCTTGTAGCTGGGCAAGGGGAGAGCTCGCTGCCAGCCCGGTGTGATGTTTCTCTGGCTGGGGTGTGCTCTGCCCCAGGGGCGGCCATGTGGCCGGGTGCTGGAAAGCTTGCAGACTTCCTCTGGTCTGGTTCAAGCGCTGACGTTAGATGTGCCCGTATGTATTACAGCTACTTCTCTTTTTTTAAAAAAAAAGAAAAATCTTTGTTCTTTGTGAAGATGAAGTAATGCCTTCAAAGAATTTCTGTGATGTTGGTAATCATGTCAGGGGTGAGGTTTTTAGCTGATTCAGCACAAGGTTTTCATCACTGTCCCTTCTGCTCTGGGGATTATTGGGTGGATGTGTCCAGGGGAAAATGTGCTATGGTCCCTGGAAGGGAAGTGTGGTGGATATGGGGTGCAATGCTTAGCCACTGTTCCCCCGGCATCCTGGCTCCCATCCTCCCATGGTGGTGAGTGGCTGTTGCTGCTGGGGCTCTCGTGAATGTGAGGGCTCTCCAGCCAGGCTGGGTGGGATGGGCACCTTGGCCCTGCCATGCAGGGCCGTGTTGTGAGCTCTCCTGCCACTGTCTTGCAGGGGTCAGCACTAACGCACTTCTACCTCCTGGAAGAGGCGAGAGCCGTGGAGCCAGCGCCATCCCTGGGATCCTGCAGCGCAGCGGGAGCTTGCTGGAGCAGCAGGACAGCACCCACTTTGGGGCTGGTCGGGCAACGGTGTCACCGGAAGGAGTTTCGTGGCCATCTGTGGGACGGAGGGGGCTTGGGAGAGGCACTTGCCCATCAGGCGGCTTCAAGGAGGCAGGAGGCACCGGCCAGCCAGCGGCACAGGGGCTCTCCAGCAGCTCTCCGTCCACTGCGGTGCATGCTGAGGAACAAACTGTGAAAGGCGAGGAGACTGGGCTCGGGGCTTTCTTAGGCGCAGGAGGGGTGGGAGGGTAACAGCTATTTAACAAGATATTTTTCATTTTAAATTATATATTTATTTTAGATAAACTGTACATAGTATTTATATTTATTGTAGGCCTGGCCCTGTATCCTTCATGTAGGTCAAGATTGACAGGGTCAGACCTCCCTTATTTTTTAAGTGCAATGTAATATTCTAATAAATAACACTTTGTTACAAACACTTGGGTTGTTAATTTAATGATGGAGGTGGGAAGGAGTCAGACCTCTGAAGACTGCCCGTAGCAACATGCCCTTGCTAGGGGTACTGCAGACAGCAGCAGAGATCCCAAGTGTGTGGTGGGGGTTGCTGAACTGGCTTGTGCCACGCTTAGGGTGCAGCAGAGTGGTGTGGTTCAAGGGGCTGGTGGCAGGATCCATCCTTCAGAAACCTGCAGCCAGGCCAGCCCCATCTGTCTTTCTTGGGAGATTGGCACCTTTGCTAGCTGATGCCCTGGGAGGGATGTGATGTTTGGGTGTCTGCTTTTCAAGCAAAGCTGCCCCTAGTATAAGTGAAGCCACTCCAGCCCCTGATTGACTCAGATGGGACTGATTCCTGGTTTTAAGCCAGAATTTGGCTAAAAAATCAAGCGGTGGACTCATACCTCCCTTGCAGGGAATCCCAGCAGTTCCTGGGGTGGCTGCAGGCTCCTGGGGCTAGCATCATTCCAGTGAGCATCACTTCAGATGGTGGTTCAGGACTGATTCCTGACTTGGCAGTAAAAATAACCCCCAAACCACTCTTTCCTCTTCCCTGATCTTCCCCAGGGGGAGCTGAGATCAGAGTGAGATGCTGGCTTTAGTAGACAGCCTTGAAGCAGAGAGGGCTTCCTCTGCAGGAAACCTGCTTTCCTCCAGCCCCTTTCCCTTCAGCAGATGTCGAATTTCAATTTTCAAAGGGGAGTGCTAAGCTACTGCTTTCCACTCCTGCTCCCACAATGTGTGCTAAAGCTGGGCAACCAGTAATCTGCAGAGTTTTTTTGGTCTAATTCAGCCAAAAATTAGCTCTGGCTTTATGCTCACTGGGGGAGGGCTTGCTTAGGAAGTGAGTGCATAGGTTCATCCCTCTTGTGTATGCTGGTAAGTTTTGCGGTAGCAAAACCTGGGGTGTGGGAAGGGGGGGACACAGCAATACTTTGGCTTCCCAGTCCTTCCCAAGATAGAAGGGCTAAAGTACACAGTTATGGCAGATGGGAAGTGGGTGGGTGACAACAGGTACCCTTGTGTGTTATCACCTGGAGAGTAAAAGCTCCAGCAGCTGCCATGGCCTGAGTCCCAGAGCCAGGCAAAAAAGTTACTGGCTCCACTATGTGCTAATCTCAACCTTAATGCTGTGGGAGCGCCAGTTCAACCAGAGACTCCAACTTTTGGCACTTTTTCAATGTCTATTAAGCAAATAATGCCTCCAGTTGCTGTGAAGGAGGCCCTTCTGCTCTGGATCACTTGGCTGCTTCGCTGAGTGCTGCTGCTGCTCCCCTTCCCAGAGCTGCTCCCCAGTCCAGCCCTGCTGCCTTTCATGGTGGGCAGCTCTGCATGCCTGGGGCCCCACGCCACCCTGGCAGGCACTGGGAGTAGCTCTGCTGGAAGGTTTTCCTGCAGACATCTGTGACTTCTGCCTGGAGCCCAGCTGCCCTCTGCCCTCCTCCTTCCCAGAGAGGACTTTGCTCCTCTGCAGGCCGGCAGTGCAGGCTGGGCTGCCTGTGGGTGGCAATTTAACAGGCCAAGAGATGGGAAATATATTTTGGAGATTTAGGGAGTGGGAAACTGGCGGGATCTTCGGGCTAGCTCCTTCTGCCTCACTGGGCTGGGAAAACCTGATGGTCCTATGGATGCTCTCTTCCTGGCTAAGGCCCAGGGCAGCTCCCTGGCCTGGCTGTGCCTGTGGCCATGAAACAGGAGGTATCCCAGAGCCTGATTAGAGAATGTGGGGCTCTGCCCTGCCTGGGGTGCCCAAACATTGCAGGAGGAGCCTGGGCTGCTTGGCTAACTGTACCTGCAGAAATGGGGTGCCAGGAAAGAGGTCTCTACCACCTTGCTGACCCCCTGGAGAGCAGTGGGCCACTGTGGCAGCTGGCCAAGCTGAGCACTGGCTGGGTCCTGGCGAAGGCTGGCACGAGCCTCCAGCAGCCCCAGCTTAGCAGCCTGGCCTTTCACCCTGTGCCAGGCACAGACCCAGAAGCACAAACATGTCACCAGCCACAGCATTTCCTGACTGCCATGGTGTCAAGCCCACTTGCTGCCTCTGACACTGACTCCATACAGTGACATCTGGCATCTCCCTTCAAATCCCTTTGATGCCTGTGCCTGGCTTGTCTACAGGTGATAGAATGTGTGCCCAGCCACTAAACACCATCATGCAGTGTGTCCCCCAGCTCACTGCCTGGGCTCATGTGGTCCCACTGCAGGCAGAGACCATGCACCTGGAGAAGAGCCCTGCAGCTTCTTCTCAGTCTCTTCTCTGGAGCAAGGGTTGAAGTTAGGAAACCTCCAAAACCCTAGATGTGGATTTAATGAAAAATTGCAATATATTGCATTAGCCAATTTAATAACCTATTCTCCCCTGCCTGCCCCAACACCTTGGCAGCTGTGCTTCAGCACCTTTGGCCATCATAGTGCGGCAGGGTTTAGATGGAGGGGATGGAAGTGCACTGGAGCAAGGACGAGGCAGCCAGAGATACCTCAGAAATAGCTGAAGCACCCTTGCTGCCTCCCTTCGGAAGCAGGCAGCAGCAGCCCTTCACGTGGCTCCATTTGGCTGGTTTTCCTCCTGACTGAGATTGTTGGCTTTTCCCAACTCCTTACCCAGACCCTAAGCCCCAAGCCCGGGATGGGCTTTGCCGCAGTGAGGCATCTCCCAGGGGTTTGTTGCCACTCCAGAGAGGGCAACACAGGTGCCTGCAGAGTTGGGGGCACAGCAGAAAGCCTCACGCTGGCACACAGCTGCCCTTGCAGGCAGGAGATGCAGGCAGTGTGGCCTGTCCCCAGGCTCCAGCTCTGCACTGGGTGAGTAGCAATGGCGGGGGGGCGGTGGGTGCGCAGCCGCAGAGGCTGGAAAGAGCTGGGGAAGGCGCTGAAAAGGGTGGCTGTGACAAGAGCTGAGAGTCCCTGAAAGTTGGATTCTGTGCTCTGTTTTTTAAGTGTTGCAGTATGTTTTCCCTGGCTGCCTCTGGCTGCAGAGCAGCACACTGGCCACTTCAGGTTTTGATATCTTCACCCAAAAGTCATCTGAAGATTATGAGGGGCCTAGAACATCTCTCTGCTGAGGAAAGGCTGAGGGACTTGGATCTTTTTAGTCTGGAGAAGAGAAGGCCAAGGAGGGATCTGATCAATGCCTGTAAGTATTTAAAGGGTGGGTGTCAGGAGGATGGGGCCAGTCTTTTTTCAGTGGTGCCCAGTGACAGTACAAGAGGTAACGGGCACAAACTTTAACATAGGAAGTACCATCTAAACATGAAGAGGAAATTATTTACTTTGAGGTTGACAGAGCCCTGGGAGAGGCTGCCCAGAGAGGGTGTAGAGTCTCCTTCTCTGGAGACATTCCAAACCCGCCTGCATGCATTCCTGTCCAGCCTGCTCTAAGTGACCCTCCTTTGGCAAGGAGGGTGGACTAGATGATCTCCAGAGGTCCCTCCCAACCCCTACAATTCTGTGATGGCCTCATCATGGTCCTCACCCTTTACCCGAGCCCGTCTGGGCAAGCCCAAAGGGAATCGAAGGTGATCCATTGGTGGCAGAAGCAGGCTGCAGAGTGCTGGGGGAACAGGCAGCTGAACACAGTTGCTGCAGGGGACACAGCACGCCCTTCACGGGACCCCACTGCCCCAGCCTCCCACCACCCGGCTCCACGCCTCTGCCTGGCAAGTGTGCCATGATTCCAGCCTCCCCCTGGCATTTCACTGGGTCTGAGATGTCCGGCGCCTCCAGCCCCAGCATCTCCATGGGTCTGGAGGATGAGTCACGTTTGGCACTACTCTGGCTCTGTGTTTAGCATCCGTTACTGCTTTTTGGTCTGTTTCTGGCACTCCCCCTCTGGGGACTCTGGGACACTCTCCTGGGGCTCCGTGTCGGGCTGGAGGGTGTCAGAACTCCACCAGCTGGGGCAGGGGCGGCTGGGCTGTGGCAGCCCCCGCGAGGAGTGGGCAGCAGAGTGGGACCAGTGTGTCACCCCACAGCTGGGCACCGCCAGGCTCTGAGGACTCCCGGGACACCTCAGGGGTGCCCTGGGGACTCAGCTGCACCCAGGCCCACAGGGCATGGCCAGATCCGCTGAGCTCTACCCTGGCCCCCTCCATAGGGGCCACGTCTCGCCCCCCACTTCCCGCTGAGGTGGCTGGGCCAGGGACACCCACGCGGGACCGGCCCGGACGGGGAGGCCTCGTCCCACACATCCCAACCAGATGGCCCCGCCCCTGTGCAGACCCCACAGCTCAGCCCGGCGCTTCCATCCCGCTACGGGCCCCGCGGCGCCACCCGCCCCGCCGAGGCGCGCATGCGCAGAAGGACACGGCGCTTCCCACAGTGCGCAGGCGCCCTGCGGAGACAAGATGGCGGCGCCCGTAGATCTGGAGCTGAAGAAGGTATAACTTCCTCTGTGGTGGGCAGACTGTCTCTTCGCTGTGTCTCGGGCGGTGTCCTCCTGGTCCCCTCCTCCCCTTAATCCCGGGGCTGGTTCGGTCCTCGCTGCCCGGCCTCAGCAGCGCGGCGACTGCGGGCCCCGGCCTGTAAGGACACCCCTCATGGCCGCTGCTCTCCCCCTCAGGCTTTCACCGAGCTGCAGGCCAAGGTGATAGACACACAGCAGAAGGTGAAGCTGGCCGACATCCAGATCGAGCAGCTGAGCAAGACGAAGAAGCACGCCCACCTCACCGACACGGAGGTCATGATGCTGGTGGATGAGACCCGCATGTATGAGGGTGTGGGGAGGATGTGAGTATCTGCCCAGCCTGCAGCAGATGGCCGGGGCTTCCTTGCTGTGCCGAGAGCAGGTAGCTGGCTCCCTGCTTGGGCGTACCTGGTTCCCGTAGCAGAGTGGGGTAGTGATTGTGGCCCTGTGCACAGGGAGACCCCCACTAGCCTTCATGTGCAAGGAGCCTCAAGGCTGCTGCCCTGGGCAGGAGGCTCTTCCCTTCGCAAAGAACATGCTAGCTTTCTCATGTTCGTTTGCTTAATTTTTCTCATTGTCTTTCATTTTTAATTCTAGCGATGTCTCTGGGAATGCAGCAAGACTTACTGGGTATTACCTTTTGGTGTTAGCTACCAGCTTTGAAGAAGGACCGTATGAACGTTATTAGCTTTGTGTGGTTTTGCTTGCTGGCTCTGCCCCTAGCAGTGATGGTCTTGTTTGGCACCTCTGGGAAATTTGCACACTAGACTAGAGGGGCAGCATTCTAATGACAAACAGCATTTGTGAGAAGGCTCTCACAAATCTGTCCAGCTTCAGTCATTTTTGATGTAATTTACTTCAGACTCCTTGAAAAGCCAATGTGCACAGTTCACACGCTCAGGGCTTTACTTGCACAAATGTTCTACATTTCTGCCCTTTCTACAGTTCTGCCCTTTGCAGTATCATACTAGGGAATGGATCTTATGGGTGTTGCCTGAATTTTTTTAAACATTGGTAAGGAGCCTAAAGCTCATATTTGCTCCCATGTGTTGGATGGCTGTCAAAAGAAACATCTTAAACCAGACGTAATGTATTTGATTAACGTCCACAACATACCTGTCTTTGGCTGCAACAGCACCCAAACCTCTTCACTACCCTGTGTTTACTCCACCTACTTTGTATGGAAGTGGATGGTCAGAGGGCTGAGCTGTGAGCCAGGTCAGACTACAGGTGCCCTAATCCATCAGACCACACAATCTCTAGGTCAAGTTGTAGGGAGATGGCAGGACTAGGAAGCTGAGATTAGTGTGTAATTTGCCCTTTGCTGTTGGTTTTCAGATGAAGTTGTACCCAGGCAAATGGAGGTGTTCAGCATGACAGAGTCCCTTTCTTGGCTCCCAGTAAATAAACTTTTCCATGTAGGTGAACTGAACTTTGGGTTTGTGTGGGGGTGCTAGTGACTGGTACCTTAAAAGGAGATAGATTTTGGTCCCTTGCAAGAGGTGACTGATTTGACCTGGACAGGCTGGAGGCATAGCAAGCACTCATGTCTGGAGTAGTCATGAGACAACTTGTAAGGGGTTTTGCTGTTCCATGTTGTCACAGAAAAGACAGGTGAAGAGTAGAACATAATTCTGGAGGCAACAATTTTTTTTAAAGATATTTTAAAATCTGAAAATACAGAACAATGCTCCTATATGGAGAGTTCCCTCAAGATACACTTAATACTTTCTCCGTGTGCAGCAGCTGCAGGAGTGATGATCTTCTGGGGAGTCTCCTTTTGCTTACCTTTCTGTGAGCAGACAGGGTAGCTTAGGTATGGCAGGCAGCTCTCACTCCTCAGGGATGGCAGAGGTGCAATCAAAAAAATATTTGCATTGTGGTAGTATTTAAAAGATGAACTCTTCATGGGCTTTGTTGTACTAGTCACTATGCAAATACAGATTAAGAGAGTGCTTCTTTTCTGAATACTGCTCATTCACACTTTGGGTTTTTTTTTTTGTTTTTTTCTCCTGCCTTAGCTTGATACAGTATATCTGGGAACTCTGACTGTGGGGCTGAAGGCTACCTTTCCAATTGGCAGTAATGCTCTGGTATGGTCTGTGTCACTCCTTAGTGCGGAGAACATGCATAAGGGACATGAGGTTCTTCCTGAAGCCCACTCCAACCCCTAGTAGAGAATTTATTGCTGAAATTTAGACTTTAGGCAAAGCAAGCTAAAGCAGCCCTTGAGCAGGAGTTAAAATTCAAGGGCAGTCTGCCGTCTTGTGTTCCACTGCAGACCAATGGAGGCGGTCATTATGGACATATAAGCCATGTTCTGTGAAGTGGAATTACAGATTTTTTAATCTGTTGGCTTTATTGGCTTGCACAGATGTGGGAGTTCAGCCACCAAAGGGATATTTATGATGCCTCAGTTTCTTTTGCAGAGTCTAGCATGGAAATGTTGGAGCTGTAGCAGGTTTCAGCTATCCAGAAAGGGTGGAAGGCTGCATCAGTGTTAACCCTGATCATCAGTGTTCTTCTGACAGCTTGCTTGAATTGCTAGATTCTTTGGAATAAGTTTTGTGCTTCTATTCCTGTGCTCAACTTTAAGGTTTTCTTTTTCTTTTTTTTTTTCTTCTTTAACCCATTTAAGCTGCTACTAGAATATGGCTTCTGATAGTTTCTCTGTTTTTTTTCTCGAGCTTTGGTGGTTTGGGATATGCACACGGGGCTAGTACATACAGTTCTGTAGGACAAGATATTCCAGGCCTTCGTGGAATCTGAAGGCTTGAGGAACTGGTGATGTGCAGCATCTGGGAGGAAGTCTGCCTAGTTCAGTACTTGCTTCTGCATTACTTGGAAAGCAGTTGTGTGGTTTTTGTTCTCTGAATCCCGATCTTGAGCCTTCTTCCCTTCTGAGAGGCTTTCCCTGCACTGCTGGAATATGTGAAAGTCCATTTGTTGTTCCTCAACTTGGTCTTTTTTTTTTTTTTTTTTTTTTTTTTTTTTTTCAAATATTGTAATGTGTATAACATGCAGAGGCCTTACTGGCTTCCACATGTGGGTCTCAGTTTACTTTTGCTATAGCTATTTTTGGGTTGACACAAGAAATGTCAGTGCCACATAGTATGAGATGATGAATTGCTGTGTACTGTACATACCCGTGAGGCTGGGATATCATCTGAGTGGTGGCATCTTGCCAAATGCATTTCAATTCTGTTACTTCATACTCTTTTGAAAGGCCTGTTACGTAGCCTGAGACAACTACCACTATGTTGGACTTCTGCTTAAGCTATTTGTGAACTGATATCATCGTATTACTTTGAGAACTATGCTGAAAGTTTAAGCTTCAGAATTCTGTCTGAATACTTCAGACCTTTCTCTGTACATTCTTTTAACCCATAACCTGGAGAAGATCATTATTTACAGAAGAAAAATGTCTGTCACTTGTGCTAAGCACAGTGAGGAAAACACTGCAGTTTTTCATGTCATGCCAAAATAGTCAGTTTTGGTTTGATATTGCTTTATCATCAGTTTACTTCTACAACAAATGGGAGCATGCTTACAAAAATAAAATATAAGAAAGCAAAAATCAAGCAAGAACTATAGCACAAGTTTATGTTCAAGGTTTTCTGCAAGTATAGTATACTATTACAGTTGTCCCTGTAAAATGACTGTGTGAATATAGCATTTTTAGGGGGACAGTTGTAATAATATGATATTGACTTTTAAGAGTGGTTTAAATTTTTGGTAGCTGAACCATACGCACGTGAGACCTGAGAGAAGATGAAATGTTCTTGATTGTTCCTGCGATTTAAATGCATTCCTGCTTTTACTGTGATTCTTGGTTTTGCCTGAAAATGAGACATCATGGATCGTTGTAAGCTCTTTCCCAAAGCCCTGAAGACAGCAATCACTACCACACATTGCTCGATATAGCTGTAGCAGCTGCATTTTTACTTTTTGGGCATGTATGAGATTGATGTTTGATTCTACCAGTGCATATTACTGCAGAACATGGTAACTGTACTGTGCTTCCCGCTCACATTTCAAAAAACTCACAAAGAACTGAAGGACACACCAGGCTTAATCTTTATGGTTCAGTTACTAACTATAGGCTGGTCTGTGAAACCCGAGTGGCTCCTCTCTGGCCATCTCCATGGGTGAGGCTTCGTGCAGAGCTTGGCGTTGGAGCCTGGCTGATGAGCTGACAGCTGCTGCAAGACTTAAATGAATCCCAGAGACAAGCATGTTGCTGTCAGCCTCTGGTCAAGATGTAGTTCATAAACTTGAAGCTCCTCTAGCTATTGAAAAAAGGAAGTTTTTATTTTCCACGGTAAGTCTGGTGTGTCTAAGAAGTACAATCAAGCACTGAACTGTGAAGAAAACAAAATTTGTGTCCAGCTGCTTGCTCCTTGACCACTGTGTATGCTGTATGTTGGACAAGACGGGTGTTTGATGTGTGAGGAACCAAAGGCCATGTGCTGTCACACATGTTCATAAGCCGTAAGGTTTTCCATTACCCAATTGGTTTTTATTTCAGGTTTTTCTCAATTTTGAACTACCACTTTTGTTGCAGCCTGGAGAATGTTCTTCAAGGTGTTATTTGTGAGTGGGCCTATAAAAGTTTGCTAGATCTTTTGAAGAAGCTGTCACAGGAAGCAGAAATCAAGGTGCTGCACGCAGGGGTAATGCAGTAGCAGTCTGTACAGGTGCCTTTGACTCGTGAGGTGAGGGGCAGCAGATGGTTGTCCCTTCCTGGTTGATCAGGAGTGGGAGAGGAGCACAGCTGTCAGTGGGCTTTGTGGTTAACTGCTGACAGCAGTGGCATACTGGGAGTGGACTCCTGGATTCTGTTCCAGATGAGCAAGAGAGCTTGTTCTCTTGAGCACAGGCTCCTTTTCCAATTTGACATCTTCTGATTTCTCAAACACCTTCCCCTCTGCCCTTCCCCCACTTAGTTCTTGATCCTATTCCTGCTGTCCTGGGCTGCTCATTCCTAATCTCCTGGATATCTTGGTCCAGTTATAGCTTTCCTGCCCTGCTGCTCTACGTAATTTCTTTGTGTAATACTGAAACTTCAAAGAAGAGATTTCCATGGCTTGCATGCAAGCTGTATATCTACCCAGTTTCAGGAAACGGCTGCCTTTATTTTAAAAAAAAATGGCATTTAGACATAGAACTGGTGTAGAATGCTTGCATTTCATAAGTCAGTGTTTGTTAAATGTATAAGCTGCAGAAAACAGGGTCTTACAATAAAAAAAAAGCTAACTTAAAAAAGAAATAAACCTGTTGGTTATAGTGTGGTGTCTCCCCTCCCCTTCCATGCCTCTGGTGC